AGGAGAGGAGAGGAGAGGAGAGGAGAGGAGAGGAGAGGAGGAGAAGGCAATCAGATGAGAAAGGGATGAAGACCGTAATCAGTATACGAAAAAAAGGTTTTTCTTACCTTCTAGAACAGCTCGCAATTTTTCCTTGAATTCCAAGTCATCTTGATATGATTTACCTAGACGTCAGTTATGCAAAACAAAGTTATTCAGTCTTGTTTTTGGAGTTTTGCAAGGGTCATAAACTGTAGCAATCAAATGCATCCCCCCCTCCTTGACTCTACCTTCGCATAACCTCCCCTCACTTATTCATCTATTTTTCTCGGTTTGTGGGGAGGGAGCGTTGCGTGACGACCGACACTAAAAACGGCGAGGGAGACTATATTTACACATGCATGACTGGTCAGCATCAGACCGATCGGGTTTTAGGCTCAACCCTCAGCCAACCCGCTCAAAAAACTTCATTAGACCGAAGACTTTGGAACACTTTGAATCGATTAGAATTCATTTCAGTTGAGAAATTGTCGACAATTAAAAAATGCATGCCGAGAATGTAGCTAGCTACAGCGAGGGGAACAAAAACTTCAAACCTTCAAATTCTATCAATACCCTGGAACAACCTTTGGGCTGATCAAAGTCAGGACACGGTTAGCTAACAGATCGAATTGGAATTTCATAGCTTCAAGTTGTTAGATTTTGCGGACCAGCTTGAGGAAAACCGTAGAACCCAAAGAAAACACTCTGAAGCTTGTAAGGGAAAGACCTAACAAATGCCCAAGGCTCCCCAAGTGATCAAACATTTGAATTTTAAACGTCCCAACTTTGTACATATATAATCCCGTATTCATGCTTGTACGATTGTTTGAAATTAATTTCCATGCAAACCTCTTGAAAGTCCATTGAGAGGAGAACCATTCAGCAAGCTGACTTGGAGCAAGAATAAACCAACTAGTAAAACTCCAGAGGCCATCGATTTTCTTTTGATTAATACAAGTAGTCGTGAACCTCCTGCTTGCTAGACTAGCAAATCAAAAGGAACCGTTTGACCGCCAAAAACCGTTAACATTGGTGATGTAATCCATTTATTTTAAACTCCTGCTGTGGTGTATTGTTTACTTATGGACATTGTATCAAGGATTAAATGTCCCCTGAGTACTGATTTAAAATATGGTTGCTATGTTGACTGTCTTGACTGGATAAACGGCATTTTCGCAAAAATAGAGCAAAGGGGAACGATTTTATCTCAGACAAGGGACGATTCGAAATAATGAATTCGAAATCATTTGCCCACTAAAAATCAGTTTCAAAAGTTAAAGCAAATTAGAATTTTCTCCTACAAAGGTTGAGTTTTCGCTTCTTTCTCTATGAAAATTCTGACTTGTTTTCGGTTAATCTTGAATATATTGAAAACGACGTCTGGACACCCCTTTTTTCTTTACAGATTTGAAACCAGCATTAAATTAAGGTCTAAATAAATCGTAATTTATAAACTTTTTTATTGATGTTTTTAAAATTAGTTAGGCAGCCACCTTAAAGGTGCTGACACACGACGGTGCAACATTGCATGCAACATTGCACGCAACAGGACTGTTGCAGCGTGTCTGCCCCAAACTTGTTGCATATAACGTTGCATGCAACAAATCTGAAGTTGAATCGCGCTCTACTCTTGCAACATTACGCGCAACAAATTTCATCCTGTGAACATGGCTGCAACATTACTTCCAACATTTTGAAATTTCCAGCCAATCAGCTTGCACCAAATCTATAACTGCTGACCAAATATCTTAACATAGCAGGCTGACACAAGCGATGTTGCATGATTTTGTTGCAATGTGTGTCACCCCGAATGTTGCATGCATTGTTGCACCGTGTGTCAGCACCTTAAACCTCCTAAGCAAGCAATCGCAAAAAATAATATTTGCCTACTAAAAACTTTTCTTTCGGCCTGAAAGATTAAAAGAATCTGGTATCCTGATATATAATGAGTATAAACAAGACGTGAATTGAGAAAGTATTTTCTTTACAGTTTATTTATCATGTTTTTCACTTTCAAAGTTGACACTATTCTTCACTTTATTTGGTTGGAGCAAAGAAGAACAGAAACTAGCTCGAGCAAACTCTGGCGCACTCCTTGTGCCGTTATTTTCTTGGGTTGGCTTGGAGCCAGTTCTATTTATCTGGGAGGCGATTTTATAATGGATTACTGAGGATATATTCGTAGGAATTTATTGATGTTGACAATGTGGTTTGGTTTTATCAAAGACTACTTCTAGAGTGGCTCTACTGAAACCATCCATTTCCACAAGTTGTAGGTTTTATGAAGTTGTTTCCAGTGGATGTCTCTGCCCGCAGTCCTTTTGAATGTGATTCATTTTCTCATCCAGGGAAATGACAGCCTTATAAAATCGAAAGAAATTTTACAGAACGTTAGGTATGAAGCCGAAGATTGCAGCCGAGATGTTTGGGAAAACTGGAAAAATACACACTGAAAATCGCTGGTTTACCAAAATGCTTTTTTATGCGTAAGCATGTAACAAAACCTTCACCAACGTTCTTTGAAATAGAAAGAAAGAAAGGAAAATATCTTCTTACTTGTAAAATGCGGTTTAAACAAGTCATAAGCGTGCTGTACACGACGGTACTTTCTTTTCTTTCAGAGTTGCTATGAGTATGAACATCAGATGGATGAATAACTTCATGGTTTTTATTAGAAGCACTGCTCGTCTTAGCTTGAAGGAGTGGAGAATCGCTTGGGAAGGGGTGAGAGCCATTTCGATCTTGACCAACATTCTAAATCAAAGAGATGAGTTCATCAGCAATCTCAACTTTCTTTATCTCATAGCCAAAAAGCCATCCTAATTTTGGACGACGCACACAAATTGAGCTCACAAGGCTTGCTGAATCAAAGGCACTTTAATTTCAAGTTCAGTTCATCAACAATTCCTTTCTTTTTTCAATGAAGAGATGCGATAACGCGATACCACTTTTATCTATACTTTTAGCAACACCTTTTTGATACAGATTTCTCTAATGTCACCTGCCTGTTTTGGAGAATACTTTACCTCTACATTGTCTGACACTTCTCGACCAAATGCCTTTTCCAGATGTCTTAATTTTTCCTCCAGACTCTCAATTTTTCTATAAAAAAAATAAAAATTACCAATTCATGTAAGGACACTTTTTCTACACATGTCAATCTGAACCTGCAAGGATATTAGACACAGGGTAATATAGATTCACTGATTTTATATCTTGGACTCCGTACTGATATTTTTACTGTCTGGAATTCGGATTCATTCCTTTTCATGTAGTGCTTATTTATAAAGACTAGTCAACAATATTAGGCATACTTTAGGTGTACATTCACTGCCTAGCGGCAGCGCGTAGCTTAGCGGCCTTCTCTAGAAGACAAAGCTCCCCATCCATGCACTCTGATGCACGTACGCAAGGTAGATAGACTGCAGTGTGCTCATTGAATCGATGTATGATTTTTCCTCGGCATTACTTGATGCAGCGCAGAACCAGTAAAAGAGATAGAGAGACTTGTTTATATGAATTGAGTAATGCCGTGGAAAAATCATACAAAGAAAGAAGAGAGTAGGGAGAGGGAGAGGGAGAGGGAGAGGGAGAGGGAGATGGCGATTGGGTCAGCAAATAGTAAATTGATATAGTTTTATAGCTAGTTGATCTGTTTCTAATCTTGCGGTATCCAGTTCCTGTTTAACTACCTTTCAGCTACTGTCCTCGCGACATCTGAACTTTTGAGCCTTGCTTTCAGGTACGAAATCTGCAAACGTATAATTATTTGGCATGCAATGAATTGCTGAAGGGAATTCATTCAAACTATATATTCCATGTAGGCTTACCAAAGCAGATGTTCTGGTAAAAGTGCATGTGATTTTACTCAACTCAAGAAACAAAAATTACTTATTACGTGGATGTAAAAGAGTAAAAATAGACACAAAAGAAGTGCATGAAAAAATGGAAAAGAGATCCACTCACATTTAGTGTACTGTAGTCTGACAGCCTACTAACTATGTTATGATAAGCAAAAGCACACTACATAATCTAGATTTAGGTTTTCTCCTACCTCTAACGTGTATTTCAGATTTTCATTCAACAGCTGGTCATTTTTGACATCTTGACCGACATTCACCGCGGGCATTGGAATTCTCTCGTGCAGTAGGTCACGCGCTACCTTAATTTCGTACAACAGAACCCCTTATCAGAACTGAATGCATTAGAATGAAATCACCTAGAATAAACTATTGGAAGGGTATTGCACAATTTCAAATCCAGAATAGACTTCTCTAGCCTGGGGTTCGATGTTTTCCCATTTCCGACCACGTGTCATTCTTTGGACAATAAGATTCTTTGTTTGAGTTGTATCCATATTGATGTGTATTTTCATGCGCAACCGTTAAAAAAAGAAATGATACTCTTGGGAATAACACCTGGCCTGGAATGGAAAAAAATACATTACACCCATGCAAGGTAAAGCTGAAGTCCAGTTCATCGAATTATAACTGAAATCGTCATATTGTACAAATAGCCATAATACTGGTAAGAAAGTATATTACTAAATAACTGTTATAAATCTCGTGTTCTGATTGGTTGGGAGCGCGTGCTTTATGAGAGTACACAGCACACGCGCGCACTTTCAGTTGCGTCATTCCTATCCAAATAAAGGTTATTGTATTTGCATTTTATACAGCACGTGCGCGCGTTTTCTATTTCTTCCGCTAAAATACACTTTATCTTACCTCTACACTAGAAGTACAGGAATTAGGGAATGGGATGTACCTTGGTAACACACTACCAGCCATGGATTGAGGTTCGACCTGTAACGTGATGTCGGCTTTTAATAGTGAATTACGATCATATATTTGTGAAAAAGCGCGGCACGATACAGAAACATGATCAACATAACTATTACAGTAATCGTTGACGCAAATATTGAAATCAATCAGCTCATTTGAGCACAAACTCCAGGATTACACTTTCAGGGGTGATGGGTACCGGGTACGAATACACCCAAACAGCTTCCTCTTAAGGAAATCAAGGGTGATGCGCGTAGCGGTAGTGCACTAGCTACCCCTTGCCTCTCACCTCTGGCTTGGGGTGCGGGTTAGATTACTGCATGCATCATATGTCAGTAGAATTTGTTACTGAGGTCTCTCCCTTTTTTCGAAGGTTTTTCTCACGGTTCTCTGGTTTTCTCTGAATCTTTGAATTAGCCGTGCCGTAACTTAGATCAGCGCAGAATTTGTTTCAGGCTTCGATTTTTGAGTTAGCCGTACCGTGACTTAGATTAGTCCAGAGTTATTTCAGGATTCGAGAAAATTTGCAGGTCGTTCCAGTCAACATTGTGCGACCTCATCCCTAACAAAGTTTTCTTACACTAGATTGTATACATACACTGATCCTTTGGGATCCCTGTGTAGGTGTTTGTTGATGATCATTGGTTTGCAGTCCTTCGCCAACAGCTTTTTTTCTGCTACTTGTCAGGCTGTCTAGTCGACATTTAATAAGCCCTAGTCTGTGCTTCAGGGTATTATTATCGATTTCTAACTGACGTTTTTCGGTTTCTAGGCGCTAAAAAATCAAATCATAAAGCTTCGTCAAACATTGCGCCAATCACTAGGATAGCAGACCTTATCACAACTTTTAAAAACTTTCCCATGCGGAGCTTTCTCAAGTAGCCGCCATGTTTGCTGGAACATTAATCTCACACCCAGTATAGCTTCTCGCATTTATGCGCTTATATATGAAGATGGGCTTACACGAGCACAAACTAAGACTTAACTTATTTCTCAAGGAAATTATTAAACATGGCTGTCGCGTCCACGATGAAGGTCCAAAGGATGCGCTGATTGAATATTATGGAGCCATAGAAAAATATTTATTGGGTGGGCAGTGTAAGCGAATAAGTGACGCTTTTAGGGAAGGATGGGCTTTAGCCTTATTCTTCCTCGAAAGTTTTTATTCAGCGTATCCAGGCTCTTTTTGTTTCCCTTGAAACAAAAGACAAACCTGGCTACGAGGTTGATAGTACACAAGTGTACCGCGTTAAATCAGTCGCGTTGCATATTCGCGCAGTATGGCAAGACTCACCTTTATAAACCTGTCTTTTATGTGAAGCTTCTTCTTAAGATAGTCATCTTTATTTTCCTCCATTTTCTAACTTGCTGGGATTTATTGAAAAAGTTCGTTATATGATTATAGTTCGACACCAATAAAGTTGTTTGGACTACAGATATTAGACATTATTCAAAGCAATCGAATATTAAATTGCATAGTACACTGAGAGTAAAAAAAATCATCAAACCGGAATCCTAAATGAAAACTCACGAAGATCGTAGATTCGATTTGCGCTTGATGACTTAATACTGAAGCTGTCTCATTCAATCTCAGTGGTAGCTAGTATCCGTTTGCGCTTAGCGTGTCTGGTGTAGGGGTATAATAAAATTATTCGCATCTACTTCTACTGCAGGAATTTTATCAAACATCTTCATTTAACAAAAACAATCTGTAGTTTTCTTAGAATTGCATTTCGAATACAGTCGATTCTGAGCGCGCGCAATTCCTAGTTTTTTGGTTTTTTTTATCTCGAAGAGAAACGAAGAAAAGCAAGACCAGAGTGTGTTAAAGAATCAAACATTTGGAAAAGAACTCACCTAGCCACTTTTTCCTGCTTATAGTCTTTTATCAATCATCATTTTTCAACCGATATCTTTTCCTAATATAAATGATTCTTTTACAAGAGCTACGTAGGCTTATGACGTAACTAATAGTTCAATTTTTATTTAATAAATGAGAATCAATTACCACAAAATTAACTTTTAAAATGATTCAAAACCTCTTTTGGCCCTGCGCACATGTGGACAGTACAGCTTACCAAGACAAAACCCATTATTTAAACTGCTATTTTTTCCATTTACAACTCTGCTCAATCTTAAGTCCTTCAGTAAAGTTTATTTGCCATCCAGCAGAGCCTTGCATTAGACACGTCCACCTCTCGGGGCTGAATTTACCTTTGCTGAGCGATATATCTGATAAGCACATGACTATTTGATCTTGGAGCGGACCTCGGTGAGGTTCATAGGTTGTCCCCTGAACCCGCTGGCAGGATTTCCTCGAAAATGCTAAACCATGCATAGCTCCTTCAAGGATTAAAATTTTGACATTTATTCCTGGGGACAAGGGCGCCAGGACAGACGAATTGAGTTTTAGATGTGTGTGTGATTTTCAGTTATTCTAATTTCCAACCAACGGTCTTTCTGGTTTGAATCAGCCGTACGATATAGGAGAGTAATGGCTAACAAAGCGACGTCGGCGCTGCTTGGCACGGATAGTGCAGCTGATTCAAACCACTGAGAAAGACCGTTGGTGGACGTGGTAAATATATTCATATCGTACGGCTGATTCAAACCAGAAAGACCGTTGGTTGGAACGGACGTTTATTTTTAAAGATAAGTGAACACTATTTAGTATCCATTTAGAAACAAACATACATCAATTCAGTCAGAATAACTGAAACAATCACACATACATCTAAAACCCACTCAAAGGCCAGGATTCGCCCCTGAAGTCATGCGCATGCCTCCATTTGATGCTTGCTGGCCATGGAATAAAGAAGTTTTCTGTCACTGATACAAAATCTTCCTTGAGTTTAACCATTACAATTCATTTTTCTGCCTCGATTTTGAGATAAATCGGTGATTCAGGTCTGAGCTGGTTAAAAGATTTCAAAACCAAAGGTTTGGTATCGAATGACTTTCTAAACCTCAAGCCAGCTTCCAAGACACGAACCAATATGACCTTCATGACCATCATGGCATATCGGCTACCAATGCACTGGCGAGGACCTGCTCCGAATGGAAGATAAGTAAAGGGGTGTCTCTTCGCTTCTTCCTCTGGGCTGAATCTCTGCGGATCAAACTTGAATGGGTCTGGCCATACATCAGGGTCATGATGGAGAGCATAGGTTAGAATATGTACACGGATGCCTTTGGGAAATTTCAGGCCATTGATGACGCATTCCTCCGAGCATTGACGCATATGACGATGACCCGGAGGACAAAGGCGCAAAACCTCCTTAAGAACCCAGTCCAAATAGTCAATAGAATAAGCAAATTCGTAGCTTCTCTCCCAAGTTTTTTCTCTTGCAGATTTTATTTCCTGGATTAGCTTTTCCTGGACATCTTGGTTGGTGGCCAAGTAATAGCTTGTGCAAATTAGGGTCGTTGTTGTTGTGTCGTTGCCTGCTGCCAGAAAACTTAGTGAACTTGCTTTCATTTCGTCATTATTCAAGCGGCTTTCTCCGTCTATCACTGTTTTATTTGCATCGATCATTAATTGGACTACGTCGTATCGACCAGTTGGCCCATATTCTTGCCGACGCCGGATGATAGCGCTGTTGAGATTGAGATAACATTAGACGAATGTTGAGAGCACGTCTCTGCACAGCCCGCATTATTCTTGGGAAGGTTACTCAGATACTTAGTTAACTAACCTTGCAAGATCCATGAAATACCCAGCATTACCAATAATATCCACGTATTTTGCCAGAAAGTTGGCCCATGGGCATATTGAGACAAGAGCAATGAGGAATGGACGATTGAACAAGGACTTTGAGCGATTCAATAGTGTTCTGTCATCACTTGTTTGTAAGTCGCTTGTATCGACACCAAACGAACTAGACAGAATGATGTCAAGGATGCATAGACTTATCAAGTCAGACATCTCTACACTTTCACCTGCAAAGAAAGCTTTTAGCTGAGTTAAGGCAGGTTTTCACATGCGAATGCGTCGGAATCGGAAAACGAGTCGCAGTCGGAATCAGAGTCGAAGTCGATCGGAAGCAGTTCGTTCATACATGAAATTGCAAGTAAAAACTGCTTGTCATAAGCGTAATTAATCACAAGCCAAGGAGAAGGAAACCTTCCGATCCTTTCCTGATCCCAGATTCTGACGCCGCCCTTCTGACTCTGATTACGCCTGCGCCTGATGCGCGTTATTTCTGTGGGATCCCTGTGGTGGATATCACTTCACTCAAAAAAAAAAATTTTCGCATTTTCTCCGTACATTTGTTTTTTGTTGTTCAAGAGTAACAAAGTCGAAAATTTGCGCAAGTTATGTAATTTTCGGCTAATATCGGCATATGCTAAACGTGAGTGCAAAACGCGTGACGCAATTAAGGTCAACCTCTCTCCATAGCTACTTATATAAGTGCATCTCTACGGACGTGATACTACATACGCAATCAACAGCACTCCACTGAACTGAACTGAACTGAACTCTACCATTATATTTTCAAACTAATAAAATCACTATAACTCTACTTTATTGCTCTGGTACTCACTCGCTATCCGTAAGCCACACTGGTTATAGTGTCAGTAGTTTCGTGATATAAAATGATCGTACCCTCACTGAGAGCATTGTAAACAGGTCAAAGGGAGAAGAGCACTGCAACAACCGTGCTAACCCAGTAAAATTTCGAGTAATTTCTTACCTGTGTCAGCCAATCGATGCAGTTTACTGATCATTCTATCAGCAGCTTCTTCGACGAGCTCCACTGTACTTTTCAGTTTGGCACTACTGAAGGCTGGAGCCAAAACTTTGCGAACTCGCTTCCACTTCGAATATTTTGATAAAAACAGCTCCGAGTCCAGCGGAGGAGGTAGCTCAATTGGTATACCTCTGTTAGGAAACTTGTGGAATTCCTTGACCATGATTTGCTTGATCATATCTGGTTCCGTGATGCAAATCGTTTGGCTCCCTGCCGACGAATACTTAAATAGTTTCCCGTACTTTTTAGACAATTCATACTGTATTCTGTGATTTCCTTTCAACTTTTTCAGTGCGAATGCCTGTAGGATAAGGCTCAGAGGGAATGGATAGTATCGTGGGCCCGGTAGAGGGATAGGCACAGCTGCTGTAAAGTAGAAATATATTGGTATTAGGAAAAGCAAGATGATTCCAAGTGTAATCCATAATGGAGCAGAAAATATGGTTCCTGTTACGGAAGCCATTGCTGTGCGAGTTTAAGGAATGTTAACAAAAAGCACTGTAGCGTAAAAGTCTATTTGCGTGACTTGCCCCTAAAAAAGGCAAAGGGCTTCAAAGAAATCTTAATAAAACATTTTGATATTTGGGCTTCCTGTGGCATAGGAAAACTATTAAGTTAAATTTCCATTTTTTTGTAATAGTTTCTACATCTTCTATGTCTCCGATCTTAAAAGTAAAATATCAACGCTGTGACTTGCCCTTGAATCTTTGAAGTCATATGAATAAAAATACCTCGAGTACCCTTTGTACTTCGAACATGCAGTATTCGTCGGCCAGCGGTCATTTTTTAAAGAGCCTGCGTAGTATGTCATTTAGTACTGTGACGTCAGAGTACCCATGATTCGTTTCGAGCTTTCTTTCTCTTGTTCACCGAACACGAAGACCCGAAAAGATCAAAGTTTCTTCCAAATTCTTACCGGATTTGACCAGAAAAACACCACGATCGAACATGTTCTCGAGGTTCCTAGACACAGCAAAGAACAGTCCCTTTGGTAGCCCTGAGACAATTGAAAACCTTTCTACAGATGTGGCACCGATGAGGAATTCTCGAAGACTCATGGCTTCAGCCGCCGGTGAGTAGACTTTGCAACGTGCAACGCGTTGATTGTCGTGTAGTCTTTTTAGAATTTTGACTCATACTAAATTTTGACTCAAGCTAAAGTTAGTTTTAAAGCCAAGTTCATCACATGAGTATTTCCTAACTTTGATTACTTTATAACCAATTATTATATCCCTCTAACTTGACCAGTCTTTAACTAAGTCACACTAATTATTTGTTAAACTGTAAACTCAAGTTTAATACTCAAATGCTTTCAAGTTTTGTGGTTATCACGTTGTATTTTAGTCAAAGATTCTTATTGACATCAGATTTATGCGAAAATGCATAGATTATTTCAATAGTTAACGTCAGAATCAGAGTTCAAGGTAGCTTGTTACCGGCAACTTTACGATCACGTGGGAGATTGACGTAATATGCTACTCTGTTAATATTGCACAATAAGTACCCTTGTCCCTTGTAAATTATATATATTTGATATCCGCCATCCAGAAAAGCAAGATAATCATTTTAACTTTACAAGCTGAGGAAATAATATTCAAATGGCAAAAATGAAATTAAGTATAAACCAGAAAAATCATACATTTCAATAGCATTGTAAGTGGGAGACACTAGACACAAAAGGCTCCAAAAGCATCTACTATTGTTGACAGTTCTATTGTATACGCTTTGAATTCCTTGGTCTTCTTGTGTCTGAAGGCTAAAATGTTTGATTTGTTGCTGTTTTCAATATTGTACGAACTTGGTAGCTGTGGGTTGACCTTTGGAATCTGATTTGTTACTGCTGCCAATCAAAAATATAAAAGGTACCAACTGATTATTTTGATTGATGGAAGCAGAAAACTAAATTCTAGAGTCTAGCTCGCCTGCATGTCACCCAACCTAATAGGCCCTTTGCAGCTAAGCAATCACGTGCTGATTAATTCACTGAGAGCAAATGAATGAACATTTTGATTCCCATGGGTGAAATTTACTGGACTGCAAACAAACTTTCTACAACCTGTTTCGAGAGATCGTAATAAAACTGCATTTCGTAGCACACTGGATACATGTGTTTTCATTCAGTTCTTTACAAGTAGCTAAAAAGAATCACCAATTTAAAATGAAAACAAAAATTTTGCATTCCAGTACAGACACGTGACCGTTAACTGCAAAGGGCCTATTGTGGCTACTTCTGTCTGTGACCCAGTGATAGTTTTCTTATTCTGTGAGCTGGATTTCAGTATGCGTTCTGATTGGCCCTTTTTTACAACATTGCTGATTGGCCATACAAACCTTGTGAGATGCCAATCAAAAATCAGACTGTTTTTTATATGATTTCACATGTATCAGCATTTCTTGCAGACTTTAAAACTTGAGTTAATATTTTTGTGCTGACAAGTGTTTGTATAAAAGCTCAAAGACATGCTCATGCAGAGTGAAAATGTTGTTTAAAAGCAACATTAAAGGGCTGATTGTATCTCAATTGCATTGAGTTCAATAGTTATCTCGTTAAGGTCTTTCGTTAGTAGTTAATATTAAGTACATGCTGGTCAGTCCTTTGTATACTCACTTATATCAAGCAGTTGTATCAATGAAGTGAACTTTTGCTGTATATTGTATCTATAAATCCTAATAGAATATTTGTTTTTATACAACATTAAACACTACCCCAAGATGAAAGCAAGATTTTTTAGTGTCAAATGAACAAAAAATATCATTTCTCCTGTGTCACATATGAGCTGAAATATTGATTTAATAATGATGAAATGGTCTTTCTATGGTTGGGGACCATTTTGATGCAACTGCCTTACTCAAGGGGATTGGTTGAGATAACTACTCAGTATAATAGTGTTTTCTCGGTTGATGTCACAATTTTGCATCATACGATTGAAATGCCCACAAGCCAAACCAAACACGCATGCTAACATGCTGCAGCAATGTTTTGTAATTTTGCTGTTCCAATTCATGGAAGAACTGTGTTTTTTTTAATGATATTAATCTTCTTTTCCATGTAATTGAAACCTTTGTTTGCAATGTTTATCTGCATATCAATCCCTCAAGGCTTTGCTATATCTATTTATAGTAACGATGAAAAATGCTATTGGCTTATTGCAACTCCTTATGGACAATTTTTTTCTGGAAACTTACCAATATCATAAAGGAATCATTCTATTCTAAAAGTGTATCATCTTTCTTTTTCTAGCTGAGGAGACAAGCTGTGAGTTTGGCAGCATGAAATACTATGCATTATGTGGATTTGGTGGTATCTTGAGCTGTGGTATCACACATACGGCTGTTGTACCTCTTGATTTGGTCAAGTGCAGAATACAGGTAAATTTATACTTGTTGGAAAATACTTTATTTATCAAAGTAGGACTTCATTCATATATGAAATCAGCTAATTGTTGAGTGATATTTGGTTTGATTAGCAAAACGTCATAGCAAAACACCAGGGATTAAAATAACAGCTGGTCAGTCGCTGGTCATGATAACTGTTCAAATTAGTTTAAGCTGGGTCAAACCTCGCCAAAGATTTGACTGGACAAATTCCAATTCTGTTGCCATTATTTTAAGCCCTGAAATGCCGTAAGTTATCAAGACCATGGCTGTTTAATGTACCTCAGCCCATTGGTTTTGGCAGATAGCAAAGCCTTGGTTTTGACAATTTACGATAGCATACAAAAACCTCATCCATTTGCCCTATTTCAATATGACGTCACATCAAAACAATCTATTGTTTAAACACAAAGGATCATGGTCATCGGAGGGGGTTAAATCAATGCAAATTCACCGAAAATTGTTCTAAAACCTGTATCAATCCAGGAAGAGAAGTAGAATAGCCAGCAAATGCTCAGAATATTTTTAGTTCACATTAACACATTATATCTGAAAACCAGGCCATTTTAGATTAAACTGTTTCACTAGGAGCAAATTGTGTTGAATTTTCTATTGGATTTGGTGATTCTATCCCCCACATAAACAAGCAGTGACATCATAGTGAAATAGGGCAATTATTATTTACATGCTAAATAAGCCTGAGTATCTCGTTTGAAAACAGTTTTTTGTTTATCAAAAGCTGTGGACTGCAAAACCCAATTCCTTCCTCCCCTCTCTCCAAATTCAAAATATAAATCATACACATATATTTACAAATATCATTAATTTGTTATCCAGGTTGACCCTGCCAAGTATCGCAACATTGTTCATGGATTCAAAGTTACATACGGTGAAGGAGGTGCGAGAGGTCTTGCTAAAGGTTGGGCACCAACATTTATTGGTTACTCAATGCAAGGCCTCTGCAAGTTTGGCTTTTATGAAGTATTTAAGATCCTTTATGGAAATCTTATGGGAGAGGTATGCCTTGGTTGGTTTATATTTTATTAGTTTTATTGCATTAATGAATTACTTTAACAATATGGTGGTCATCTTGCCAGGGGGCAAAACAAAACAAAGATGACAGGAAAAAAAGAGTTTTGTATGTTTGTCTTTCTTTTATGGGTAAAGATTATCAATGTGCTGTCTTAATTCATCTTTTGACGTACTGTATTCTCTTGTGGTGAGCTGTTAATATCAAATGCTGTTTTTACTGTAATAAAGCTGTATTTGCCCCTAGTTGCCTCATAATGCCTTGCAATCCAAGATGGCTGTCACATTATTGAAGAAGCCATTGAATGCATTTCATCTCTAGATATTTTTCCTCCGGTAACATTTGAAAATTCATGGCTTGTGGGGGCTGTCACCCAGATGGCTAAATAATACCCAATCAACAGATATTATTATATATTTTACTCACCATCTCCCTTCTGATTGGCCACGAAAACCTCTTAGGCTGTCTATTTGTTGATCAGCCTGTTGTGGCCTCAGTCATCAACAACACAAAAAATTTCAAGAGTGGAGCAGAGCTTGATTAAGTAAACGTGGTAGCATTGATTTAAGACATCTAGGTCTTGGCTTCCACCAATCAAATTTTCAATGTTCGGAGTTCAGAGCCAAAAGCTCAGATATTCAGAATTATAACTAATTACATAGCTTATATAGTTATGAAAATGTACAGAAAACTGCATTCTTATTTCTTAATTTCTCCCTATTCCTTTTCAATCTTCCATTGATTATAGATCTGGTTTATTTGCAGGAAAAATCATATCTTTACCGAACATCCCTGTACCTGGCGGCATCTGCCAGTGCTGAATTCTTTGCAGACATTGCTCTTGCTCCCATGGAGGCTGTAAAGGTAAAGATCCAGACCACCCCTGGATGGGCTAACACCCTTAGAGAAGGTGTGCCTAAGTTATGGGCTGATGAAGGAGTAAGAGGGTAAGTTTTTAAATAGTGGTGAGTTTAACCCTTTCACCAAAGTAACCCGCTTTTCCGGGATTGTAATTTTGTTTCCCGTACGAACTATCCCGGTTTTCCGGGAATTCGATCGTTTGATGTTTGGGAGCTGGAAACTACCGGTTAATTGACTCTAGAGGGGCCTAAATCATATTGACGAAATCTATAATGCTGAAACCCCAAAGGCACGTGCTTTCCGCCATATTGTGTCATATGATATTTTTGATGAAGAAGCTATGAAAGGTTCGGATGAAGCGTGCGTTTACGGGCGCCATTTTTTAAAAACCAAACGTTGTTATGAGTGATTCAGAGGACTCAGAAAGTTCA